CTAGTCCATTTCCCCCTCATCTTGTAAGACATTTGGAAAGAAAAGACAATAGGATAGAGATAGAAACCTTGAACCTGCGGTTGTCTTGTAATTTGTTGGTTTTTCCATTTAAATTTGTGCAAAAGTTTAGCTTCCGACCAATTAAATAAAAATCACCTTAGTTCAGTAATCCAACACAGATACTCCCTTTACAGAAGGAAAACTGGTCATTGCTCAGAGTGGACTGGGAGAAAATTACTGCGGAGAGGAATGTGGCTTGGAACTCGCCTGGCCCCAGAAGCAAACAGAAATCCCCAAATGAGCGGTAGCTGTTCTCAGTGGTACCCCCTGGGGTGCACACAACACAGGCAAGCCGTTCATCTCACTGGGGGTCAGAGGTTCCCCCTGTGACTGGTTAGGTGCCTCGCTCAAATGGGCACAGCTGTCAGCGACAGATGCGACTGGACTCGTGTTCTGGCCTCAAGTCAGGGTCCTCCCACCATTCACTAGGAGACACGGCTGACCAGCCGAGCCTGCATGTGTGTGTGTGGGGGCTCTGGAGCAGCCACGAAATCTGATCTGGGCGACCCCCGGAGAACTTGGGTTTCCGTACCTCGGGATGCTGTTACTAGCAAGTCCCTCTTCTGATGTTGTCAGGGGGTCCATACTACCCACATTCAGGAGCGGTGTAGTCTGAAAATGCTGTTCCTTTCCTCCTCATCCCTGTAGAAAAGCTGTTAGACTTAGGGTGCTGTGTAGCTCTGCCCAGGTGTCCTCATGTCCTGCCTGCTTCTCCCAAGTAAACCTACAGGTGTATCTTAATCCCCTCAAATCATTTTAATTAGGGACCTTGATGAATTTTTCCTAAATGGCTATGAAGAGACTTTGGTGGTTTAAAGGAGAGGAACTCTTGAGTGTAGCTTCTTGGAGGGAAGTCAGGGCTTCTGGACGCTGGATCAGACTGGAGGGGTGGGGTGAGAGGGCGGCGCCAAGCCGGGGCCAGGTCTCCTGGCTTCCCAGCATGCACCTCACCTGTGGCCAACAGGTTTGTCCATTAGCTTTTCACATTTCCTTGAAACTCAAAGTGCCCTTCGGATGAGGAAATGTCCAAGGAACTTGGGGGGTTCAGACTGGAGAGAGCACAAGGGACAGGGGGAGATGGTTAGATGCCCTGCTCTCTGGCCTGGGGCTCTGGTGAGGGTGGGGAGCTGGGAGCTGGCCCAGGGCAGCCCAGAACCAGGAGCAAAGGCAGGAGGGCAAGAGATGTGTGTGCGGGCATCTGCTCTGCCAGGTGCCGCTGCAGCCTCACCTGGGATAATGGTTTAATTCTACAGCTCAGACTGCCCACTTCCGAGAAGGTTTGTGTGGAGAGGCGATGAATGTAGATAAATCAGTGTGTGCACATAAGGTGGCAATGGTGATTTCTACCCACAGGCTGGTGTGAGCGTCAAACGGCCCCAGCAAACACATGCACAGTCCACAGCAGAGAGGGGCCTGGATCTGTGGCTCGGCGGCCCAGTGCAGCTGCGGGGGCCGGGGCTGCCTTGCGCTGGCAGGGAATGGTGCAGACTCCCCTCCTCCTCCTCGAGTGGTCAAAATTCGTCATTTCGAAAGAGAGTAAGGAAAGGTCCTGGAGGGAAAGTTTTGGAGCCCAACCGTATTAATTTTATTTACACTTTCATCCTTTTATAATTTTTTTAATATTAAGTATAGTAGGCGCTCTCGCAAATAATAAATCAGTAATCCTGTATTACTCACATTTTACAGGCGGGTTAACTGAGGCTGAGACCAGGCGAATGAATTCACATCTCCCCGCTGGCCAGCTGCGCCTGCTTAGGCTGGGCCGTGGGGGGGCGGGGGGGTGTTTGGACTCAAGGCCTGTGTTGCGGAAACGGACGTGCAGCGAACTGCAGAGCTAAAGGCGGATGGGACGGAGGAGAGGGATGGGAGAGGAGGGAGGGAAGGACCGAGGGGAGGGGAGGGACGGAGGAAAGGGCAAAAGGCAAATGGAAAGAGCAAAGTCATTTAGGACGGCGGAGAGCGCAGTTAACTCAGTACACACCGGGGGAGTGGGGCGCTCCCACCTGTGTGCGGACAGGTCTGCTGCGTGGTGCCCCACCCCCCGGGATCCACTGTGCCCTGACCCACCCCCGGCAGACCGCTTCCCCAACTCTGCCCTCCAGTGTCTCTGGGAACCCCCACGCCATCCCATCTGGGACCCGGGATGGCAAACCTGCGTCTGCTTGGTTCGGTTGCACGGAGCGCCGACCATGTGGATGAGTCTCCGCCCCAACCACTGGCCGCAGACCTGGACCCCGCCCTGGCCCGAGCAGGCGTCGCGAGTGCCTCGGGGAGCGCCAGCCCTGGCCCCCTTGCCCAGCCGTCTGAGCCCCCGGCTTCGCGGGTGCTTGGGCTCTAAGCGGAGCTCCGAGAGCCTGAATGCCACAGTGAGGAGAGGGACGGCAGGGTCACAGGGACCCCGCATTCCTTAGCGCTGCCCGCACCAGGGCACGCTTGGATCAAGTTGCCCCTGTGAATCAATGCACGGTTGCAAATTAAGGAAGAAATTAAGGAAGGCAGCGAGCGCACGCGCCCCGGTTCCTCGGTGCAGATAGCTTACTGCTCAGGGCGGCGCGCGTGCTTGTGGTGCGGCCGTCAACGCCCAGGTCCTGGACAATCCAGGTTCGCCCGCTCTCTCCGAACGAAATGCAAGAAACTAAATGATTGGAAATAACACATATTCTGGCTGCCCCCGCTTCCCTATTTTCTCCATTTTTGCCACCGGTGTCTGGAATCCAACTTGACCGCTCTGTGCTATTGGGGGTCAGCGTATCTTTACAACCTGGGGTCTGGGCGCCGCCCCACTGCGTGCGCGCTCGGCTCAGGAGCGCGCGGGGCTGGGGTCGGGGACGGGGTGGGGAGGGGGCGCCAGAGATGCGGGCGGGAGTGGGGGCGTCCGCAGACGGCAAGGGGCGCTGTCCTTTAAAGACTGCTTAACCCTGCCGAGCACCTGCCGCCCGCGCCCTGCAGCGGCAGTGAAGTTAGGAAGTGTTGAAAGAGACGTGTTTTCCAGGGGACAGCGGTTGCCGACAAGTCCCCCCTCGGTGATCCCTTCTCCCTCCCACTCCTGCCCAATGCCCACCGGCCGCGAGCTGCCCTAGCTCCCCGAGGTACCCAGAGCATTCTGCCTTGGGGATTTTTCTTGAGGTATCTCTGGCAGAAAGGACCAAGACGGGAAATGGCCGAGGTTCCCAGGGCAGGGAAGTCCGTCTGGACCACCAACGCATTCTCCCGACAGCTCCCCGCCCCAGGCCTGCTCCCCGCTCCGTTCCCGGCGCCAGCCAGCCCCGCCGCTGCACTCGGGTTCCCGGGTGCTCTCCTGGCTGTGGGCCGGGCCACCCACTCGCCAGCCAGCGCCCTGCCCCACAAGGGCTGGGAGAGGAACGTATGGGCCTAGGGTGCTGCTGCTCGCACCTGCCTGGAAGGGACAGGAAAACTAAATCTATGCATAAAGCTTGTTCTCCCATGAAAATTATCTTGGCTCTAGGGGTTAAAATTGGGACTTGACAGAGAAGTTGCATTTCTCTACCCGCTTGTCGGCCCTTAGGGGTAGGGCCCTCCTGGGAGTGCAGGTTGCACACAAGGCCTTTGTGAACTCAGTCATTGCGCGCTGGGACAATGAAATACGGGCTTAGAATTTACAGGCTTAATGTCTTAGAGTTATATTAACATCCATCGTGTACAGAGTTTGAGCTATCACGTTTATCATCTCACCGAATCTTCACAACAGCCCTGTGAGATCAGCCTTATCATCATCCTCATTTTAGGATTAGGAAAGGAGGCCTAGAGAGACGCCTGACTTGCTCAGCCACGCATCAAGCAACCCGAACACTGAGGACGGGTCCTGCCTGCCCCCCTCTACCATCCTCCCACGACAATACTACCCCCTTTCAGGGTCACCTCTGCAGAGCCCTGCACGCGGGTGGCGCTCAGTAAATATCTGTGGACTGAATTCCAGGATCTAGTCAAGCCGTATGACTGCCATGTTTTATATAGAGTAGGGTATGTCTACGTCTTATTTACTCATTCATTTTATTCATTCACACATGCGGCAGTTCCTGAGCACCTACTATGTGTGGACGCTGAAGGGTCAAGGGAAAAACGCTAATCACTCGAAGCAGAGTGTGCGTGAGCTGAGGTCCGCCGCAGGGGTTTTGCGTCCACGAGGGAGGGCCACGCGCCGCAATCCCGCAGCCCTCCGGGTTGAACACAGGCAGAGAACACGCAGCCCCATCCGCCCTGGGGTGTCAGGATAAAGGGGGACTCAGGGAACCCCAGATCGTGCCCTGGGGGACGGGGAGGGCAGGGACGGAGGGACTCCGTTCCCAGGGGCAGGACTGATGGTCGGAGTAGAAAAGAGAAAACACAACGAAAAGGGCGAGGGAAGATGGGAGAAGAGCGAGAGGTGAGGCAGCCGGACGCCCGACGGACACCCGAGCCTGGGGGGAGGGGGAAGGGTGCAAGAAGAGAGAACTCAGACGGCAGAGTTATAAAGCGGCGCCGAGAACGCGGACAGGCGCTCCCGAGATCCGGGAAGCTGCGGGGACGCCAGGGGGGCTCGGGCTGCGCTGCGGGGGCCCTGACGCGGGATCCGGCCCCGCCCCTGCCGGACTCTATGGCCGCGGGTGGCCACCGGCGAGGCTCCCGAAGCGCGGGTCGTTTTAGAGAAGCACTGGGTGTGTTCCCTTGAGCACGGGTCACAGGTTTCTCCGGAGGGATTCACAGTCCATTTCCTGCGAAACCTGCCGGGCTTCCAAGCGCGCGAGAAGTTGCTGGAGGGCGGCCCGGGGAGGCGAGGCCGGTCGGGGCCAGGGACCGGCGTCCGGCGCCCCTGCTGCGCGGCACCTGCGCCCGGAGCTGGCGGGACGCGAGACGGCCGGGCGCGGATGCCCGGAGGGCGCCGGGGGCGGAGCGGCGGGCCGGGGGCGGGCGCGGGGGGCGGCCCTCCCTCCCTCTCCTCCTTCCGGCAGGACGGCGCGGGCCGCGCGGCCCGGACGGCGGGAGGGGGCCCGCGGCGACGGAGGGAGGGGCCGCGCCGCCTGCCCGAGTCATTGGAGGACGCGCAGCCCGAAGCTGATAAATAAGGGGCCGAGCCGCGGCCGACGGCCAAGTTGGGCGCCCCGACCCGAGCGAGGGCCAGGTCAGCGCCGGCCCGGCGAGGCGAAGCGAGGCGACCCCCGTGCGGCCATGGCCTCGCTGCTGGGCTCTTACCCGTGGCCCGAGGGGCTCGAGGGCCCGGCCCTGGACGCCGAGCTGTCGGATGGGCTGTCCCCGCCGGCCGCCCCCCGCCCGCCGGGGGACAAGGGCTCGGAGAGCCGTATCCGGCGGCCCATGAACGCCTTCATGGTGTGGGCCAAGGACGAGAGGAAACGTCTGGCGGTGCAGAACCCGGACCTGCACAACGCCGAGCTCAGCAAGATGCTGGGTGAGTAAGCAGGCGGGCGGGCGGGCACGCCCCGGGGTCAGCCGGCCGGGGGGACGGACAGAGGGGACGGGGACGGGGCTGGCGGCTGGCGGCCAGGCGGGGGCCGGGGTGCGCGCGGTGCGCGGGCGCTCGCGGTGCCTGCTGGCTTGGGCATCTGTGCCAGCGTGGGTGGGCGCGCGGTGGCCGGCATTCAGGGCAGGGACACCTTGGTGGGGTCCAAAGTGAAACCTCGAGGCGCACCGGATGACCCGGGAGGGCCACTCGCCAGGACAGGGCCCCAGGGGACAGGCGGGGCCGGGCAGCTGCCAGGTCCGTTGTAGCCCAGCGACGGGGACCCGCGCGCACGGACAGGCCGGGAGGGAAACACTGAGGCCGTTTGCTGGGAATTCCGAAGCGGGAAAAGCCACCATTCCCCGAACTTTACCACTGGCACGATCACAGTGGGAGGACCTAACCATTATTAACGAATATCGTGAAGAGAGACCTGGTGTGAACGCGTCCCCAGTTTAACCATTAAGCCAACATCAGGAAAATCTGTGTAAATAGACTGGATTCGTCAGTCTATTTCTCAGTAGTTAAGATTGTAGACAATTTGATTCCGATGCTTAGGGCGGCCAAGGAGGGTCTGTCCTGGAGCTGGGCAGCTTGCCCAGTGCTGCCCCGCAGTCCCAGCAGTGGCAGCCGGCTGCGCTCACGGACAGGCCCGACTGCCGGAGCCCAGAGAGAGGATGCAAGGGCGCGTCCGAAAAACCGGAGTCGGTGTCCCGCCGTCTTCTGTTTCCCAGTCTGGAGCTGAGCCCTTGTCATCTCCGCCCTACTCCTCACCTCTTTGCCCCCGGAACTGGTTTTTATTCGCTTTAATCTGTAGAAACCTTTCAAAGCCCTTTGTGTGTGCGGTGGGCACTGCACTGTGAGAAGGGCCAGTGTGTGGTCACCCCCGGTTGGCCCAGCCTGCCCCAATCCCGCAGGCCCAGAATAGAGCTTTGCTCCTTTCTGTTGGAGCTCTGGGCTGGCCCCCTGTGAGAACGTGGAGGGCTGACCCCCACCTTTCTGCCCTCACAGGCTCACAGAGAGGGTCCCTCCTGCCTAGACGCCAGTTCAAAGCAGCTGCGAGCTGGCTTCAAAGAGCCTCTACACAGCCCAGTCTCCTGGCTACTGTGCTCAAGGCCGAATTAGTTGGTCAGTGGCTTAGTGAGCCCCTTCCTCCATAAAAAATATTAAAAATTCCATTTTATACTGTTAGCATTAAAACAAATATATTAACATATGCAATGATAAAACATTTTCTTTGGCTTAAAAGTTCGTATTTTTCTTCCGCCTTCTAAAGAAATGAAAACACTTATTTTTAGGGTTGAGCCTACTGCTGGAGCACAGCTCTTGTGACCAGGATAGAGCAGGGGTTCTGCTGCAGGCCCAGACCAGAGATGGGAGAGGAACTTGAGCTGAGCTAAGGAACCTTGCAGGATTGGGGCTACAAGGTCCCAGGGAAGGCACAGGCAAAGGGACTTGGACAAACAATGCTTCCCATGAGCTGATCCCTGCTGGTAGTGTGCATTTAGGCTTCCAGGGGTTATAGTTCATTTTGCAGGAAAGACACTTGATTCCTTCCTGCTTAACCACACAGCTCCTGGCACTGGGCGAGGGAAACCAGCATGGTGTTGCTTTTTAAAATATGGACCTTCCACACCTCTTGATAGGGGGGCAGCAGGATGACCTGCTTCCACCCCCATGAACTTGCCCAGCCCTTTCCTTTCTCCTTAGGAAAGGGAAGGGCTGGATGTGAGAGTCCCAACTTATTCTGACTATCAGCTTTCAATCACTAACATTAAAAACTTTGCCCAGTAGTGCATTTTTCATATATTACAAATGAAAAAGAACATTAAGACAGTCATATATTTAGTGGCTTTTAAAACAAACATATTTTATTCACACTACAACATCCAGAAACATTTAGGAACTAGAGCCACATTTTATATTCAGCCCACAGACAGGGTGTGGGGTGTACGTGGATCTTATCCTCTTGCAACAACTTTGTGGCCTCAGCCACAGGCTGGGAACTGTTGGCCAACCCCAAATCTGGAGTTGCTAACACTTTGCCCTTCTAAGTGACAGCTAATTACATTGATGACTCTATCAGAATAGTCATCAACTTTCATCCCCGTGGTAGAATACCTATAATAACTGCCCTACTTCAGCATCTTTGAGGGCCTGGCGTGCAGAGCCAGCCAGTGCGGCATGGAGGGCAGCTGTACACACGGCTCTACTTGGCCCAGCACAGAGCGCTCGGGTGGGAGATGGGCCCCTTTCCCTACAGGACTCAGTTGCCCAACTTCCCCCCATGGGCTAGTAGGTCTCACACTTCAGGAGACACTAAAGTCTACAGGGAAACTTGTCAAAGTTGCAGAACCCCCAATCCAGCCTAGTAGGTGACAGTCTAAGGGGTCTGGAAGCAGCCTTCAGAAAACCTGCAGCCAGAGGGATGGGCAGTGTCTGAGACGAACGAGAGATGCAAAAAGTTTGCAGAACAACACACAAGCAAGTAAAGACAAAATACAAGGGAATCTAGCATGTTTCAGAGCAGTGTGATACAGAAGGAGGTCGCTTCTTTAAGAGAGGGGTTTGAGTTGGGCAGTAGCACAATGTAAGTTATAGTGAGGAAAACAGTGCAAAGAAGTTGACGAATTTGCTTCTGCGTAGAGTCAATGGCTGTGCAGGTGCCATCTGCCACAAAGGGTCTTAAGTAGATGGCTGGAAGCCACCGCGCGCGCGCGCGCGCGTGTGTGTGTGTGTGTGTGTGTGTGTGTGTGTGTGAGAGGGTGCGTGCATACATGCGTGGTTGGTGCAGGCAGATGCTAGCATTCTGGCCACGGTCACAGGGGCCTCTGACCTTCAGATGTACAGGTCTGTTACCCCAAGCGAGATCCTGCATATGAAACAACTGACCGAGCCTGAGTTTCCACACAAGAAGGCATGTGAGATCGATGCCATAAATATCGTCATATCACTTCCTAACTGACAATCAACGAAGGCAAAGCGTTTTCATTAACATGCACAAATGATTAGAATTGGCCCCTCCAGAGGTAACAAAAGCCCAAATCAGTGTTGGAGTCCTTCTGTATTTTTGCCCTGTGGCTGATGTTGGGTGCCGTGGGCCTTTCTCAGTGAATCTTGCATTGTTTACATGATCACTTTATCTTGGGGTTTTTATATGAGACGTGACTGGAGGGTGTGCGTAGTGGGCACGGATGGTTCTGCGGGATGCTGGCGGGAGTGGTTGTTTTGGCCTCACGGAGTATGCAGGGTCTGGGCTGGGGAACGGTGCGAGGAGGGCGGTGTCCCTTGGGGCGGGGCGCGGGCGGGCTGGGTGGGGGACAGCGGTGGACAGTGTGTGTGCGCGCGCGCGTGTGTGGGCGAGAGGGACGCTTGGAGGCAGGAGAGGCTGAGACAGGTGCGGCGCCGGTGCTGACAGTGCCCTCTGACTTGTGCGAGCAGGGAAGTCGTGGAAGGCGCTGACGCTGTCGCAGAAGAGGCCGTACGTGGACGAGGCGGAGCGGCTGCGCCTGCAGCACATGCAGGACTATCCCAACTACAAGTACCGCCCTCGCAGGAAGAAGCAGGCCAAGCGCCTCTGCAAGCGCGTGGACCCCGGCTTCCTGCTGAGCTCCCTGTCCCGGGACCAGAACGCCCTGCCCGAGAAGCGCGGCGGCCGCGGGGCGCTGGGCGAGAAGGAGGACGGGGGTGAGTACTCGCCGGGCTCCGCGCTGCCCAGCCTGCGTGGCTGCTACCACGAGGGGCCGGCTGGCGGCTGCGGCACCCCTGGCAGCGTGGACGCCTACCCGTATGGGCTGCCCACGCCCCCGGAAATGTCGCCCCTGGACGTGCTGGAGCCGGAGCAGACCTTCTTCTCCTCCCCGTGCCAGGAGGAGCACGCGCACCCTCGCCGCCTCGCCCACCTGCCCGCGCCCGCGTACTCACCGGAGTACGCCCCCAGCCCGCTGCACTGCGGCCACCCCCTGGGCGCCTTGGCGCTCGGCCCGTCCGCGAGCGTCTCTATGGTGTCCACGGTACCCGGCTGCCCCCCGTCGCCTGCCTATTACTCCCCTGCCACCTACCGCCCCCTCCACTCCAACCTCCATGCCCACCTGGGCCAGCTCTCCCCGCCTCCCGAGCACCCTGGCTTTGACGCACTGGATCAGCTGAGCCAGGTGGAACTCCTGGGGGACATGGATCGAAATGAGTTCGACCAGTATTTGAACACTCCTGGTCACCCAGACCCTGTTGCAGGGACCGTGGCCCTCAGTGGGCATGCCTCGGTCTCCCAGGTGACACCGACGGGCCCCACGGAGACCAGCCTCATCTCCGTGCTGGCTGATGCCACGGCCACATATTACAACAGCTACAGCGTGTCATAGAGCCGGGGCCGCCGCCCTCCCCGCCCTGCGCCCCAACAGAGCGGCCGCGACCTGGCAGAGCTGTGGCTCCCACCGCCCCGGGCTGGCAGGCCTGGACTGCCGCTGGCGCCGGGACTCTGCGATCTGCCCGGGCCCCTCCCCTCAAGGGGGCTGTGCTGATCCCAGCACCCCCTCCACTCCCTCCAGCCTGCATTTTGAGTATTTTCCTTCAAATGAGTTTTCATTGGCTGCACCTGGGAATAAGGCGAGGTAGGTGCTGAAAGGTGCTGTTTCCCGATGGCTTTTTCACTGACCACTCTCCTCCCTGTCCCCATCACGGAGACAAATGCGTAAAAAGCCCAGCCGTATTCTCACCTCTTTTGCTAATGACACAGCCGCAGGGGTAGAGCCCTGCTGATGTTTGGGTCCATCAGGGGGGGCGAGCCTCCGGCTGGGATCCCAGGCCTGCTCCACTTCAGAGGGCTGGTGAACCCCCACTGGCGTCTCTTCTCCCCAGAGGCCCTCACCCCCACCTGTAAAGTCAAGGACAGACTTGACATAAAAGTTTCCCTCTCTGCTCCAGGGTCTTCTGATGTAGGATTCTTTCAAAGCTAACTAAAAGGAAAATGAAGTTCGATTCATTAGTAGGCTCATTAACAGGCTGCCAGGTGATAATTCTACGCGCACAGCCCAAAAGCATGGGGCCTTCTGCACGGCACTGCCTACCCAGACGGTCCTAGTCTTCCAAAGGGACTCTTTCCCAATTTGAGAAAAAGCAGTCATTGTGATCTGGGAAATTAACCACTAGGGTTGACTGCATCACTGAAAATGAGATTGAATTCAAGTCTGTTTTTTATTTTTATTTTTTACGTAAGTTCTTTTCTTTTTATTAAACATGTATTTCAAGAGATATACACAGCCTGAATGTATACAGTCAGTGTGTGTGACACACACAACACACACACCTTCATGAACACAGCCTAAGGCAGACACTCTTGTTGATGTTGGCGTCTTTTGGTCAATTCCCTGTTCCTAATGCCACAAAGAGCAGGGAACCGAAAAAGAATTTCAACAAAGCAGCACCACTTACCTTCTATCTGGATGTGCTGATTTCTTGAGCAAGATTTCAGCACACGCAGATATAGAAGGAACCTCCTCCCTGCGGTCTCTGTCTCCCTCTCCTGAGATCTCTTTCCCTCTCCTCCCTGGCTCTGCTTCCACCTGAGTTGCCACTAATTCAAAGGTGCCCTGACCTCAAACTCTGAAGCATGATTCCTATGGCTGAGATGGGAATTGGTTCTTCTCGCCAGCCAGCTGGTTCTTGGTAACATCTTCAGCCAACACTTCAAAACAACTTCCCCATTTATTCTATTACGTTCCAGAGAACAGAAACACCTGGGATTCAGAAAGTTTCTGAGCCCTGACCCTACCTGGAAAACATCCCCATCTCTTTGAAGGAACCTACCCAGCAGTGAGCTAAAAGGCAGTTGTTTGTCTTTTGATCTCAGTATATTATTGCCTGTATAAGTGTTTTATATATTCTCCTATTATTTTCACCTTATATTTTGTATTGTTGAAAGATTTTTTTTCCTTCTGAGGAGTTCTATTGTAAATCACTCATAAAATATAATTAATCGTTATGCTATTACTGTATACGACACTTGGTAATAAATAGTAAATCATTGCCAATATGATTGACTGGTGCAGTCCAGAACGGGCTTTCATGATCTTGTAAAATATCACAGACATTAAGCTAAACTGTTCCATTTCTTTTTTTTAATAACTACACAGGCTTTGGAACAGTTATAGATATTGGTTTGTCTAAAATATTTAATTTAAATAATTGTTTTTGTACTGTGATCATTCTATCACTTAACATATGGTTTTGCAAAAAGAAAACGTTTCCAAGTGAGGCATAGAAAACATGCCCAGTGATGCTTATATTAGTCAAAGTGTTATCTACACCAACTTTTTAATTTTATAAAGTTATCTTGTAGGGGTGGTTTATTTTATGAGTTACGATAACGAGATAAAGCCTAATATTACATTTTGAAAATGGTGTTATCATTAATATTGAAAGAAAAAGCCAGCCCATAGTCTGCCTACAGAACAATTTTCTCTCTGGAATGACTTCACTCTTATCAGTGGAATGTGGTGATTGTCAGCCTGTCTCAAGAAAGGAAGGAGGTTCTGCCTAATTTTTCTCTTATTTAAGGCTATCACATTTTTTCTATTCTTGAAGTAATCTTGAAAAGCACCCAGATTTCCCACTTGACTACGCATTTATGAATGTGGTATAACAAGATATTGTGGGCTCGCAAAACCCAGTGGAATGTTATGGAGACGGCAGGGGAGCTCACGGATCAGTGATTAAAGGAGGATTTTGTGAGGTTCAGGATTAAATTCCCAACCAAAACTGCCTGGAAAAAACTGATGATTACTAAGCCCCTTGCAGGTCACCCCTGTCTGGCTTCTCTCTGGCAGGAAGCAGTTGTAACTTGTTCAAGTCAAGGGCAGCCTTGTGTTCTTCCAGGCCCTCTGGGCCAAGGAGTAGGTCTTGGGAAGGCCCAGATGGGTTTATGTTCATCCAATTTTGATCATAATCTGTAGTCATTACTTTAATGGCACTTTATAGATGTAGTAAGATTTACAGCAAGTTTTATGGGCTATTTCTCATCCACAGCCCCAGGGGGTCTGTCACCCAGTCACCCCATTGCGCAGCCGGCACACTGAGGCCCAGGGTGGGAGGCGGTGCCGCGCCATTCACCCCTCTCAGCCAGTGGAGGCCAGGGGTCCAGCTCTTCATCAGGTACATTTGTTGGCAGCATCAGCCAAACAGTCCCACAGCTCAAGGCTTTGTGCCTTTTTTAGCACTTCACCACGAATGAATTACAGGTTCATACTGTTCACAGCCTGGGGGAAAACAGAACGAACCTGGAGGAAATTACCGGGCACAGTTAGATAAGATCCGAATCCCTGGTGGCCCGCCCCCCCACCCCACCCCCTGCGGCTGGCTGCAGGGTCCTCAGCTGGCTGGAGGACTTGACCGGCAGTGTCTGCCCAGGACAGGGGCCCTCCCACTGCCAAATGGGCACATTTCATTCCAGGACACGCTGTGGATTAGGGGCGTTGTCCCTGCCTCGGGAAAGGCAGGAAGCAGGCTACCGTGCTGCTCTTTCACTTTTGCTCAGCTATGAAACAGTCATGCGTAGAAGCCAGGGCTATTTTAGAGTTCTTGGTGATGGTTCTGGGTACTCAGTTGCCCCTGGTGACAGAGTCTTTTTTGCTTTGGCTTATGAGAATTGATGGGTATGCAGTTCCTCGTTGTTGTTCTAAAATGTAGACGTTACCATTTCACTGTTTTCCTTAAGGTCCTTCTGCACCTCCTTGTGGCCCACGCATACAGGGTGGGCACAGACGTGGGTTCATATGAAGCCAGGGGGTTCATGTGCCCATGCCCCTCACCTGTAAAGGATCCTGGGGGGGACCCTGATAATGTATTCACATGGCCAGCTCCAGCCCCCCAGTTGTGCAGGATGCAGGACCCACAGCACCTGGCCTGTCCCCATGTGAGTGGCCCTAGGGACGACCTTTCCAGAAGCCTCCCCCTCACCTCCTGCACCCCACCATGGTGTACCTACTACACAGAAAACCTACTGTGCTCGGAAAATGCTTTCCTTCCCCATAATCCTGTATTTTTCCCAATACTCTTCCCCAACTGGAGAGACCCTCACTCCTATCACCTGTCTGATGACATCCCGCTCATTGTCCAGATCCAGCTCAGGTGCCCAGTCCTGTCCAGCAGAGGGGGTCGCTCCTCCCTGAGTTCCCACGGGGCTGGAGCAGATCCCGGTGACGGCACTTGGCCATCGCCTGGTGCTGGAATTATCAACTAGGAGCATCCTCCCCAGCAGGAGAGACAGAGTAGCTGCTCAAAAATAAATGAATAAACACAGGAAATGTCCTGTAGGTGTTCCAGGTAATTTTGGTGGTAAAAACTTGAGACCTCTCGGTCCCTTATTTTCACACCCATCTCTCTGGAAACCAAGACCCTGGCGCCTTATGCATATAGCTCTCAGGGCTCGGAGGCTTTCTGTGATGCAGCTGTGGCTGTCCACCCTCACCTGCTTGCAGCCTGGAGTACACAGGTCGGGAGAGAGACACAGAATCCCAGAGGGGGATCTCCTCTCCCATCCCATCTTAGAGTCGCAGATGAGAGCTAAAGACAGTTGATCTGTAACCTTTATACTTGCCTACCTTTCCTTTTGAAAAGGCTGTGTTCTTTAGTTCACCCAGTGAAAGGGATTTGGAAGGAAGGCAGGAAAGTAGGAAGAAAGGAAGGTAAGAAGAAAAGAAGGAAGGGAGAAAAGAAACCTATATTTATCTACCTATCATCTATCTCTATCTATCTATCTATCTATCATCTATCTATCTGTCTATCTATCATCTATCTATCTACCTATCTACGTACCTACCTACCTATTATCTATCATCTATCTATCATCTCTCTCTATCATCTATCTTTATCATCTATCTATCTATCTATATCTATATCTAATCTATCATCTATATCTATCTATATCTATTTATCTATCATCTACCTACCTATCTATATCATCATCATCTATCTATAGCTATCCACCCATTCATCTTCCCACCTCATCCACCCATCTATCATCTTTCTTCTCAGCCATATACCCATCTATTATCTATCTATCTATTTATCTCATCTAGCAATCATCTATCTATATATCTGTCTGGACTATCATCTATTGATATTTTCATTCTCAAAAGAGACACAATCTTTGTAGAAAGTTTAGGAAAAAAATATCATAGAGAAACAAAGTAATCTATTGTCCACAACTTAGAGACATTACTGGTAATTTATATATATCCTTTCAGACTTTTTTGTCTTGTTCTACATACATATACATATGTCTTTTGTGATTAAACATCTTTATTCACTAATATTAAATAAACATTTTCCTATGTCATTAAACTTTACCTTTCTGCAGAAACTGTTTTCTTTCCAGTTGAAAAACCAATGTGCAAAAATTTTGGAAACAGGAAAAATTACCCACTCCACAACCCTGATGTAACTATTTTCAACATACTCGTTGTACATTGGTCTCCCCAGTCTCATGCTCACGTGGTGTGACCACACTGCAGGTATAGATATCATTGGTGTTTGGCTTTCTCCTCTCCACATTCTATACCAGAGGTTTCACCACATTGATAGCTGTCTTCATATTTTTCATTTTTGATGATGGCATAGTACTTCAGTGCATTCATGTAGCTCAATGTGTCTGACCATCCCCTTGCTATTAGGTAACTAAATTGTTCCATTTGTATTATTTGCCATATAAATAACACCACCATGAACATCTACATGTTTATGCCCTTGGCTAGACTCCCTGCAGGGTTATCACCAGGTCTAAGCATATGAACAAGTTTCTAAGTTTTGCTTCAAACAGCTTGTTGGTCGATTTTCTCAAAGATCCTTAATTAAAGCTGACTAGCCTCTTTCTTAATGGAAAGAGTTAAAATCGCTGACGGCTGTTTATAACTGACTTAAATCTCACCACGCTCGGTTGGCTACACCCATCATGGGGGCTTTGTCTTCCTGAGAACCCGTCGTGTGCCTGCTGCTGGCTGCCACTGGTAAACTGTGAGTGTGCCTCTCCCCAGGTGCCACAGTGGATGGCACACCCTTCTCTGAGCATCAGCTTTTGATGTGGGGGAAGGCTTGTTCTGTTGATTAGCAAGGCAACTGGACTTGTCTCCCAGAGTCCCCCAGAGCACACCATCAATGCCACTGGTCACACTCACAGGGCATGCAGAGCTCTACACTGTGGGAGAGTGTCTGGGAAGAGCTGAGGCCTGGGGGCTGGGGGTTCGACCTGACCCCCAGCTGGGTTTTGGTCGGGACTTGGATCGACAAACCTGTCCCCTCACCTAAGGAGATAGTGAGTTTGTAGGCACTTAAGAAATTGTAAAGCTTTATATGAATGTATGGAATAGCTATTGTTTATTTTAGATTTCTTTAAGGAATTTAGATTTCCTCTAGGCCTGAAGGCTGTGTTGAGTGACTCTCATTCTGGGATTGATGGCACTGGAGAAACAAAGAAACGGACCTCCGCCGTATACTGAGGGGGTCTGAGAGGCCTCTCTCCGTGTGTGTGTGGGTGGGTGGGTGGGTGTGTGTGTGTGGCACTGCGCTGAGATTGAAAGAGCCCATCGGGGTCATTTGGTCCATTCTCCTGCCTCTGCTGGGGACTGCCTCATAGCCGTTCTTGGAGGATGGGCTTCTATTTGATTAGAGCATCCTCTAGAAAAAGGGATTTTTCTCTCTGCAAGCTCATCTAACAAGTTCCATCATCAGAGCGCTTCCTTTTACCTGGCTCGGATCCCTCCTGCTCCAGCCTAAGTCCACGATGTGCCCCCACCTTGCCCAGGCGCTCCTTGGCTCTGAAGGCCAGTGGTCATTCCCTCTCTGCTCTGTCAGGGACCCTGTTTTGGGCCTGGTAGGGGTTGTGGTTCTCCCCGGATCCAATCTCAGGTCTGCATTCCCCCTAATCAGAGGTGACTGCTGCAGGGACTTGGGAGGGGAGAGGAGAGGCAGGCCTTGTTACCCAGAACGCGAGGGAGGGAGGTGGAAGTGGCACCAGGGAGTGGGCGAGCCTCCTCTGTGGGCACTGCTAGAACGTTCTGCGTGTCGGCAGAGGGTGTAGTCATCTGTCAGAAGTTCACGCCGCTGGGCCAAACGGTGGGTCTCCGGCCCTGCTCATCGTCCTTCCTCTGGTCTCTCATCTCCCATCCAGCCAAGGGGCTGTAGGGCGAGGGGCACAGGCCTGGGGCGAGTGAGGGGTGCTTAAAACAAGAAAAATCTTCCACTGGATTCTGGAAAACAAAATCACTCGGTTTTGATTAATGAAACGTCTTTGCAGCCTCCAGGGCCCTCAGGGTGCCGCTGCTGTGTCTTCAAGGCTCTGATGATGAGAGCTGAGAAGGGGGGCTGTGACTTGCGCGGAGGAGATGCCGGGCGGAAGGGGAGGGGACTGGGGGCGCCCACTGACCTCGTCTCCCCACGCTGGTTTGTCCTTGCGTCAGAGAATCCAAGACGGCTGCCTGTCTCCTTTCTTCCGATCCTGACAAGTCTTATAACGTTTTCTTCTTGATTCCCTTTTCTGAAAAACAGAAGCGCCAGCTCCCACTCTTAGGGTGCCGCGAAAGTCAGGGCAAGTGCGTAGCGTCCTGAAAATCCGCCACCGTGAGTACAGTGATTTGTCCTGAGCATGAGCATCAGGTGGCCAGAGGCGTCCTAGTGTGAACAGAGCAGTTACTCTTGTACTGGAAGGAACGTGGAGTCAGAATGGAGAGATTCTTGTCCCACCTCTGTGACCTTGAAAAAAATCACTGGAGGTCCGAGCTGGCAGGAATAATTGTTATCATCCTGTTTCACCCCCGATTGGATGAAAAAGGAAATGGAGGCCCAGAGAGGTCAGGGGATTTGCCTGAGAGCCAGTAGCTGAGAAGAGAAGCCGGGTGAAGGGGACAGGGGACACCCCCAGGGCCCCCAGCACTGGGGCAGCTGGTCTTCCTTAGCACCAGCCAGAAGGGTGCTAGGCAGGGCTGCGGGAGAGGGCCCCCCATGCCTCCCTCTCTGCTGTGCAGGGGTCTCAGCAGGGCAGAGGCCAGGGGCACAGGCTCAGGGCCACAGGGTGATCAGGAAAAGGGGTCTTGGGAATGCAGACTGGGGAGCCCGGAGCCCAGCGGGTCAGCCTGCCTCCAGGGGATTCCCAAGAGGCTCCTCCTTGCGCTTCTTGCAGCCCAGTTGGTCCTGGGGTGCTGGCCCAGGAAAGGGAGGCTTGGAATGAGCCTCTCAGAGGATGGAGAGGCCGAGTGGACCCCTGCAGGAGGCAGGCGCCCTGCCCTAGGGTTCCCAGACCCTTCTGGGAACAAACGGTGGCTTCTAGGGCAAGGAAATGGCACCGAGAGGCCCACCCAGGCCTCCCTGGGGGCCAGTGCCCCTTAGTTGTGTTTCTGCCATGCCTGCCTGCCCTCCCACCCCCACCCCCAGACCCAGGCTGCAGGGGCTCAGAAGGGTGCAGGTGGTCAGGGTGGCAGAGGGGATGGGAGGCTGGGCCCCTGGGCAGAGCCCCACGGGGCAGCAGACCACCTTAAGGGACACTCTGCCTGCCCTGTAGCTGGAAGACAGGGGAAGGCGGCAGGAGGGGCCCGCAGAGGGTGGAGGAGCGGCGGCTGCGGGGTGTTTTCCTGCTCCTGGGAGCTGCTGTGACCAGGAGGAGGATGTGGCCAGAGCCCAGTGTTTCCTGCCTGATAAGCCGGCCCCTCCCCGGGAGCCCCGGCCAGGCCCACCTTTGCGCCTAGGGCTCTGCCCAGGGAGGGGCTGGCGGAGGAGGAAAATCTCTTCTCCAGATTAGCTCACCCTGGCCAAGCCCTCCTCCCCCACCCCGTCCCCACAGCAGCTGCAGGAAACGGGGCTGGGCCAGCACGCCCAGGGGTCCCCACCTTCAGGGCACTCCGTTCCAGGCCCAGGGACCCCAGCTTGTCTCGGGTCCCCACCATCCCTGTCCCCCAAGAGCGGAAGCCTTCTTGCTCCAAAGGCAACCATTTCCAAGGAAGGCAGTGACTGCAAACCTTCTATGTGGCGTGGAGTCTGGGCCTAGGAACGGGACCCTTTATTCCTGATCCCGCCACGCACCAGCCCCGCCTGCCTGATTGTCTGCGGAGTGCGGAGGATGGTGGGCTTGGGAGGATGATGCCAGGCTGGCCTAGAGGGAAGGGCAGGGACTGGCCCCCGGGGACAGGCCGTGTGACCTGACCCTTGCTGGGGGAGCCCCCATCTGTAATTGGATGGGGCGAGCCACTGGGGAGCTAAGAGCCCCTCTCCCTCCCCACATTCGTGATCAAGGACCCGGGTGCTCCCAGGAGTAGCAGGGGCAGTGGCCATCCCTGGGAAGGGCTGGGCACCCTGTCAGCAGCCCATCCACACAAAGGGAGCCGAGAGGGAGCACTGGCCCTGCACAGTGCCCTCCTCTCCCCTCCCCTCTGGGAAACCATCCTCTCCTGGCTTCCGCCTACTGCCCCGCTCTCTGGCCTGTCTCCTCCCTGGGAGCCAGGAGGCCCTGACTCTAGGCCAGGGGACAAGGGCCATGCGTAGGACCCCCACGCAGGGGAGTGTTTCTCAGAGAACATCGTTTCAAAATAAGGCCAGAGTCCCAGACAGGGAAGAGGGGCTGCTCAGAGGCTCATTCACAGACATGAACCCCAACACCAGGTGCACCCCTGCCACAACACAGCCCTCCCATGGGCCTCCTGCCCTGGGCATTCCCCCCCCTCCCCAAGCTGTGGGCATCTCGCCTGCCCCACAGCCCAGACCTGCTTCCCAACCACTGG